CCTTCCTTCAAGAAAAGCATCAGGGTCAAAGTCTAAAAAAAAAAGCAATTTTATATTTTAAAATTTGTACACATCTATCGATATATGGGGAAATAGAAGAGAAAATGAAAAGAAGCCATTCTTGATGGAATTAACAAAATAGAAAATAGGGATCGTGGACTTAATATTAACCTGCAATTACACACCCAATTTTCCCTTCCAGCATTAATATTTACATTTTACCCATCATGATTGAAAGAAGTGACTGGACTGAGCATGTCAAACTATTTTTCTCAGTCCTTGATATCATTGTATTAATTATCAAAGCAGCCCACATACTCTGAGTTGGACAAATCTCTGTATACAGAATATTAACTGCTAAGAAGAATTTAACTGCATTTTATTTTCTACTTAAGAAATCTCCAGCCTCATCCCTGGTTTTAGAAAGGGCAGAGTGTAGGGTCCGTGGGCATCGCCTCTGCAGGTGGTAGGATTTCCCATCCGTCAGTCATGTGGCCATGTTCCTGTCAGACCCATTACCCCAGCACAGTCCGTGCTGACTCCAACATGTGCCTCCTGCAGCCCAAGTCAAAGAATCCGACAAAAACTGGGCTCTGAGCACGACTGCAATCCAAGTCGGGGAAACGGATGAAGGGGATGTGATTGCCCAGAAAGATTCCACATCCTCTGCTCTTTTACCGCAGTCTCTTTGTCTGGACTGTCTCATGTGGTTGGTCCCTGGAGACGGTAGCGTTTACTATTACCTTTTCTATTTTTCCAGGCAAGGACTCTTAAAAGTTCCTCTGGCTCCCAGCAGGAACTTTGCATACTGTATTCATTGTCTTTCCCTTTGTCCCTTCTTTTTTAATCTTTCTCCCCTTTTCACCACCTCAGACTCTCTAGTTCAAGCAAACTGTCTTTTCAGTTGTGCATCTTTCTAATGGACGGAGTGAACCCTTGGGCCTTGCTCCTATGGGACCAAGTTTAGCTTTACTTTGTGGTTTATTGGCCTGAACTTTGAGAGGGTCAGGTTGGGTTTTTGCACGTGGCTCACCTTTGCACTGCAGACTTGTGGAAGGAAGTAGAGGGGGGCTGCCTTGCAACTGTGTCTGAGCTTTCATTGATAGTTACAAGTCTTATGTCAAAAAGAGATTTGCCTTTTATTTCTCCCCACAAGAGTATGGGAAATAATGATGCATGTATAATGTTTGTCCTCAGAGCCATTGCGAATGCTTCTGTTTTAAAACCATTAAATGGAGGCTCAATCTAAGCTTTCTAAAATCCTTTGGGGGGTGGGGGGGAAAAGCAGAAAATGGGAGGATGAGGGATGGAAGATGGATAGGCAGATGGATGAACATTTTCAACACTATTTTACTGACTCAACATTGGCTGAACACCTACTATGTAAATGTTCTCTCCTTCACTTTTCTGTCTTGAATCTAGCCCCTCCATTGTATCTCTGTCATTCTTTCCTAGTCCGGAACCCCCTCACATCTTGCCTGAATTTTCACAACCACCTGATGAATCTCACATACTCTCTAATGCCATCCCTTCTTTGCCATGACCAGGACCACCTTTCTATCACAAAACCCACATCACTCTCCTGCTTCACAGCTTCCACAAACTCCCAGACGCCTACAAGATAAAATCCAAATTCCTTTCTCAGCTCCTCAGTTTCTAGTCACAATTTCCATCCCTAGTCTCATTACCTCCTTATCTCCGCCATGCACTCTATGCTGCAAACACTACAGAATTCTTGCTGGAAAAGACAGACTCAATTTCAAAACACTATTTGCTAGCCCTGTAAAAATGGCTCAAAAGTCACTCACCCTGAACCTTATATTTTTCCACAGTAAAAGAGAAATTGATTCTAAAAGGTAAGAGTTGTGCCCCCACTGCGCAGCTCAGTGACTGAGCTTAGAGCTATGAACCAGGAGGTCATGTTTCGATTCCAGTCTGGGCACATGCCCGAGATGTGGGCTTGATCCCCAGAGGGGGCCATGCAGGAGGCAGACTATCAATGATTCTCTCTCATCATTGATGTCTCTATCTCTCATTGCCCCTCCCTTCTTCTCTGAAATTAAAAAAACAAAACAACAACAACAACAAAAACACATGTAAGTTTTTAAATAAAAGGTAAGGGTTGTAAAAATGTAAAATATAATGTTAGAAATTATCAAGTCAGTTTTTCTGTCTGTGTCTTTGTAATGTCATTCCCTCTACCTGAGGTTCATCTTTCGCTTCTTCACGTAACAGACAAACTCTTACTCAGACCCAGAGCAACCAGCATCTTCTCCACGGTTGTTTTTCTGTCTCCCCTGATTGAGTTAGACACTTTCTTCTTAAGGCTCCCACAATAACTCAGGACACTCATTACATAATGATATGATATGATAATATTGTAAAATTCTAAAAATAACGTATTTTTAAAAATCTGTACCTTAACCTGGCTTATGATAGTTTCTCAAAAAGTACCTGTTGAATGAATATATGAAGGCACTACGCTGGGCTCTGCAGTCTAGTTCTTTAAGAGCTCATAAGCTTGAAGGACAGGGAACAAACAGAATCTACACAAATAACCACAATGTATGTCTGCCTAGATTAAGGGTTTAATTGGAGGTAGAATCAAAGTGCAATGGTAGCTGTACGAGGACACAGAGAAGCAGGAAATCTTAACCAGAAAGGGACATCTGAGCTGAGTCCTAAAGCATGCATCTGGATTTAACTTCCAATTTTGCTTAACCTGCCCATCTGTTTATTAGGTCCATTCCTCCTCATACACCATAAAACCCTAAGCTTCGGTGGTATAAGACTAAATAATTCTAAAACTTTGGCCAACAATTCCCAGAATGTTTTTCACAATGCAATTTTGAGCAGCAATTTAATTTTGCTTATTAACCCTGAAGCCTGTAAATTTTAGCTAACAAATCAGCATATCTTTGAAGTTGAAAACAAACTATGCCAAGAATATAAAGGTTTGAAAACTAAAGAGCTATTAAAAAAAAAATCTATGTTTTCATTATATACCTGCTGAGTTATAGACACGGTTTTTTTTAGACTCTAAGTAATTAAACTGCCCAAGTGAAATTGAAAAATGATGAACCATGACATAACAATCTATTTTAATATGATGTATAGAGTTGCTCCTGCCCTTTTTTATAATATAGGAAGAAATTCAATAAAATTTTGAATATAGGATTTTTAAAGAAAGTATAAGATACTAAGTAGTGAAAGTCTAAAAAAGGCTGAATCTGTTAGAGCATAACTATAATCATAAGTTAGCATTCGTACGGTAGTATTTTCTACATCTAGCACTTTATAATTCTGATTGAAAAAATCTAGTAAATATTGAAACATCCTCCTTTAGTGCAACAGTGGTTCCAAAACTAAATTTTTCTGCTGCTTCCATTGTAGTCACACTGCTTGCTTTCCTGATACAAACTATATAAAATGTCCTAAGAATGGTAATTTACTTATTCAGTGTTTGTAATGTTCCAGGCAATGGGCTATATTATTTTTTTTTTAATTTGGGAAATTCATTAGGAGTTTCTCTCTCCATCACTAAAACGCTATTTCACACCATATATACCAAAAGCTTAGTAAGGCCAAAGAAGTTACCTAAGTACTGCTTTGAGAGTTATCTTGGAAAAAAATTTTAAATGGCTATTTAGAAAAACGAACTGTCATAGAAGAAATTACAATTGAAATGGCACACCCTGAAATGCAAGAAAAATTCCATTTCTGTATGAGCCAAGAACAGTCAACAAGCTGAAAACCAGTTATCTTCATTCTGCTCACACCCCAAATACAGAATTCTCATGTAATTTGGACAGTATTCTGAGATATTGCCTTGTTCATGTGTTCCAACAGCAGATGGAATTACCAGCTCTGTCCAACCTCAGGGGTTTGATAACAGGTTTTAAAGGAGATCTCTTCTGTCTGGTTTGTTCACTCAAATTTCATATCTCCAAACCCCAAATCATCAGTATTTAAAATACAATACCAACTACAACTCACTTTGGATAAATGGTCCCAAAGACTGATTAAGTTTGTTACTACCTTTTTTATGAATATAGTTATTTTATCTTTTTTTAACTCTCTTAAAGAAACATTTCATCATATTATATAAAAAATTAGAAAGAATATAATGCCCCCATGACCCAATGTCAATAATTATCAACACATGAATCCTGTTATTCCATCTATAACACCTCTCCTGTTATAAATTATGTAAGAAATCTACATGGTTCCAAACTCAAATCCACAAAAATAATGTCATCAGAGAAGTCTAGCTTCTATCCCCATCCCTTTACTCCAGTGTTTCCCAAACTTTTGACATATGTGTACCCCTTCTATAATTTTCGTAACGCTGAGTACCCCTTGTACTCATGAGAATGTAGAATTAGGTGCAGCTAAGCACGGTGCAGTGCATATCCCCACCAAACTCCGGTGCAACACGTACCCCCACCAAACTCTTCCCGTACCCCTGGGGATACATGTACCACACTTTCGGAAACACTGCTTCTCCTTCCTCCATAGAAAACTATTTTATATGATTGTTTAATCCTCTCCTTTTTAAAATATGAGCAAATATATTTATTAATTACCTCTTTTCTGAGCTAAACAATGAGAGGTCCACGATTTTCAAAATATTTTAAAGTATATGGAGTGTAAATGGACTGTTAGTGGAATTTTAAGCCTAAAGCAAGAGGCATAGTAATTTGAATTTATTCTTTAAATAACTGATTATTTGAACACTTTACAACTTGTAAGACCCAGGTGTGTGATCAATCAGAGAAGGAAAAGGCAGCACACTTTAATTAAAAGGCTGAAAATTAAAAATAGGCAATAAAGAGATTGTCTGCAATTTTTTAAATAGACAGTAGTGTTAAAAACACTCTCATACAATTGGAGTACCTCCCAAAGGCATTCCAATTGTCAACGCATTAAGAACAGGTTCCTTTGAGCAGAGTGGAATTTCATTTACGAACCCTCAAATCAACTGATATCCTTTCTCATAGATCGAATTGCACAGAACATCATTAAGTCCCACTTGGAGACATGTCAATACACCATGGAGGAGCTACACCAGCTGGCGTGGCAGACCCACACCTATGAAGAAATTAAAGCGTATCAAAGCAAGGTACTCCTGTAGTTTCTCTATTTCTGGCTTTCTCAACTTCACAAGTAGACATTTTGGGCTAGACAGTTCTTTGCTGTGGGGACTGTCCTGTGCATTGCAGGACATTTAGCAGCATCCCTAATCTCTCCCCACAGGGCACCCCCTCACACACAAGTATGACAATCAAAATGTCTTTGAGATTGAGACCCTCAATTATAAGATCTACCAATAAATGAAATTTTAATTAAATGTATAAATCTTCCTGTTTCTAAATGTTTGACTATAACATATATTGGAGCAATGAAATCTTATCACTTTTATATAAATAGAAAGACAAAAGTGTAGTTATGCTCAATGAAAACCAGAATTAACACAGTCAGATTTATGCTTCCCATTCCAAAGTAAATAACCCAGAGATCAAAATACATTTCTGGGATTCTATATTACTTGAGAGGGCAATTTGATTTGATATCTTTTCCCTTAAAATTAATTTTATACCCAAAAAAACTGCTGTAAGTTCTGGGGAAAGAACACAAAAATCAAGATTACAAGTTTAGTATCCATCAGGTATACATGAAAATAAGGCTTTTATAACTTTATAAAAGTCTGTGGGTGAAATTGGTATTCCTCAGTGCAAGAGTTTGGTTTTACAAAATGGACTAAGTGCTTGAGTTTATTTAGGTGAGGTGATGGAGGACAAAGAGGGGAAAGGATAAAGAAACTATAAATAACTATCTTTACATGCTGACAATGTTCCCATGATTCAAGGCTCAGTACTTTGATAACTGTGGCATATCAAGGTTTCAAACAGGTCAAAATAATATCTTAGAAAATATTGCCCACCTCTTTTAAAGGAATCCGGTAAATCTCCCCCACCCCCTTGGTCCCTAAGTGACAGATAAGCATAGTCGGGCAACCCTGAGTATTTCACTGACTCTCCCAGTTGCCCTTTATTGCACGTGCATTCTGTCTTTTCTCTCTTGAAGTCCAGGGAAGCACTATGGCAGCAATGTGCCATCCAGATCACTCACGCCATCCAGTACGTGGTAGAGTTTGCAAAGCGGATAACGGGCTTCATGGAACTCTGTCAAAATGATCAGATCCTACTTCTGAAGTCAGGTAAGCAAGGCAGAGATGGGGTGGGCCTATTTTAGACCAGGATGTGGTCGACCCCAAGCTCAGTGTTGGTTCTAGAAAATCCTCCTTCCAACATATACCTCAGTTTTACCACCTACACTGTCAGCCAACTCCCAAAGGAAACTCTCAGCAATAAAAATGCCCTGATACTCACTCAGTTCCCCCTTTGAAGTCAAATACAATTTTGCTTATTGAAAGTAGAGCTATTAATTGCAAAGGTTGAGATACCCAGCTTGACAGGCAGTGCAAGTAATTAGTGTGTCAAGGTGGCTGAATTGCTGAGCTGGCTCTAAAATGTTCTATTTGCCTTCTGCTGGGGGGATGTCGGAGGGCGGGGGGGACCCAGGCTAGCTGAGTTCTGCCTCTGTGGTCATTTCCAATCATTTTAATGAGGATAGCCTGCAGCCAGAATACATGGGGAGAATTTCCACGTGCTCTCATCATTCCCTCCTCCTTCTTTCACTGACTCTGACACACACACAATGAGGAGGTAGCTTAAGAAACTGCACATGATTGACTTTGCAGATACTATTACCCAAACAGGAAAAAAATTATTTGTCTTTCTTGGCCCTATTTGAAAATAGAAGATAAGAACCACCATGGTATATAAATTTATATTCATGGTCTCTAGACCATATTAATAATAATGTACTCTTATATTTATAACTAGAGGCCTGGTGTACAAAATTTATGCACAAGGGGAGGAAAGAAGGGTCCCTCAGTCTGACCTGTACTCTCTCCAATCTGGGAGCTAGTTGGACATCCCTCTCACAAACATAGACTTCTGGCTCCTAACTGCTCACCTGCCTGCCTACCCTAACCATCCTGCCTACCTGCCTGATCCCCCTAACTGCCCTCCCCTACCGGCCTGGTCACCCCTATAAACTTTTTTTTTAACCTTATCCCCTTCACACACAATTGCATTTGACTTCCTCATTGGCTTCTCCCTCTCACACAATTTCTCTCTCTCTTTTATATAACACTTTTTCCTATTGACTCATCATTTATAAACTTTTTTTTCCTCCTTATTGCCTACTTCTATGCTATCATCCTTCTTCCCATCATTCTCCTGCCCTCCCTCCCCACATTCCTTCTTTCCTTTATCTTTACACTTGCCCTCCTCCCCTTTTCCTTCTTTCCCATCTTAATTTTTTCTTCACTTCCTCCCTTGGACCTGCTTTGCTTTCTCCCCCATTTCTTCCTTCTTCCCATTATCTTTTTAAGCTCTACCGGCTTCCCTTTAAAACTTTTCTTCCCTCTCTCTTTCTGTTATCCTTCCTTTCCCATACATTCTTCTCTACTTACTTCCACTGTTTTAATATCTACCTATCTACCTGCCGAATTATTCGCTATATTTATCTTTTTTTCTTTTCTGACTCCTACTTTTAAAAATCTGTCCCTAGTACATAACTATACTTGACTTTCATTATAGCTCCAACAGTTCACTCACACATCCTCTTTCCTTCTTTAACTCTGCTCTCTACTGACTTTTTTAATAAAGTTCTTCCCTCCTTCCCTTCTTAAAGCTTCTGTTCAGGGGGGCATTAACCCCAGCCCAGGGCTCAGCCCCAGCCAGGTGTTTGCTGCCTGCCCCCCACTTCCCCAGCCTCCCCACTGCTGTTCTGAACCCATTCCCTGCCTGGGTCACTAGCCCAGCGAGGGTGGCCGAGGCCCGTGGGGCCCGGGTGCTGCTGCCAGGAAGCAGGAGGAACTCCACCCAGAAGGCCTCAGACCATCCACCACTCCATCCCGAACCTATGGGTGCCTCCCCACCAACAGCCTGTGTCAGGGGCCACCGCCCTCCTCCCGTGTCTGGGCAGGGTGCCCCACTCTGTGCCACCTGCACCCCACCCCTCGCTGGGTGCCCCTGCTCCATCCCACCTCCGCGGTCACCACCTCTCCCCAGTGCAGCCCTGCATTTCCTTCTCTTTTCCATTCCTGCGTCTTTTTCTTGTTCCCTTTCTGTATTTCTGTTTCTCCTCTCTGGCTGTCTGCATGCAAGCCTGCCTTCCTCTCCCTCTTCTTTCTTATCCCCTCCTGTCATATCCTATCCTACACCGGGCCTTGCAGCTGCCTGAGCAGAGGGCAGGGACACAGCCTGCTGATCCGGTTGTGATGTGACGCTGTAATGGACAATTTGCATATTCCTCTATTATAGGGGTGTCGAACTCAATCAGAGAAGGGGCCAAAATCTAAAATCCAGCCTAAATCGCGGGCCGAATGGTTTACTGAACAGTCATAAACTGTCATTGTGATGGAAACGCAGCGGAGTGCAGTGATGACAGCGCGGTGCGGGCCACATTGCAAGGCCTGGCGGGACGGATTTGGCCCGCGGGCCTTGTGTTTGACACATGTGCTCTATTATTACATAGGACAGCATACATATATGTGTTTATGCTTACCTATGACATCTTATTTAATCTTATGAGGTCAGTATTATTTCCATTTTATAGAAGAGGAAGTGAAGGTTTATAGAAGTGGAGGCTCAATGTGACTCAAGTGTTCAATATCGCAAAACCAATATACAGCAAAGCTGGCATTTGAATTTAGAATGCACATAAAATTCTAAGTTGCTGCTTCTTTACCAAATGGTACAGATTGATGTAAATCTTGGCTCAAACATTAACTTGATTACCCTATTGCTGTGTAAAAACAACCCCAAAACTAGTTCAAAGGACAAACATCATTTATTTGGCTCTCCCAAAGCTATAATTTGAGCAAGGCTCAGCAGGGATGGCTTGTCCTGCTCACTGAGGCAACTTGATGGGGGGCAGTGAGGGAATCCATTTTCAGATTGGCTAACTCACATGGCTGGCAATTTGTGCTGGTTGACAGCCCAGAATTCAACCAAGGCTCTGGGCTGGGCGCCCCAGTTCTTATCCACGCAAGCCTTTCCACAGACTGCTTGGACTTGCTCACAGCATGGTTACTAGGTTCCATAAGCTAGCATTCCAAGAGAACAAGGCAGAAGTACCTAGCATTTCTCTGACTTAGCTTCAGAAAGCAGTACTGGAGTCAGTCATGAAGGCCCAACTGGGTTCAAGGGAAGGAGACACAGGTTCTACAACTTGATGGGGAAGCGGTAAGGTTCTAGAAAAGCATGTGAAATGGAAGATACTTTCATGACTTTCTTTGAAAAATAAAATTCACCACAGTTGATATGTGACCTTGAGGTAACCTCTCTAGATGAAAGCTTCCTTGTTTGTAAAGTAAAGAGACTGGCTAGAAAGAACAGATTTTAAAGCTGGAATTGCATGAGCAGTGTCAGAGGAGCTTACTGACTGAGTCATGGGTGTCATCTGAGGCCCATGAAATCAGAATCTCCTAGAGGGGAATCCAATCCATTGTATTTTTTAGAAAGTCTCAGATATAACTGGTCCATGGACTGACATTTGTGAACCATTGGACCGTATAATTTTTATCATCTCTGCCTGCATCAAAATGTTGATTTTAATATAAAAGGCGGAGTACTTAACCTCTTTGAGTCTCCTGTAACTTATCCATAGAAACAAGCTAATAAAACTTACTCTAGCCCTATCCAATTTGGCTCAGTGGATAGAGCTTCGGCCTGTGGAACCAAGGGTTCTGGGTTCAATTCCGGTTAAGAGCACAACCAAGGGTTTCATACCTAGGTTGCAGGCTCCCCCGCAACCCAGGCCCAGGTCAGGGCATGTGCAGGATGTGTTTCTCTCACATCGATGTTGTCCTCTATCTTTCCCGATGTTTCTCTCCACCTTTCCTACTCTCATCCACTCTCTCTAAAAGATCATTGGGAAAAAGATACTCGGGTGAGGATTAACAACAACAACAAAATTATTTTAAAACTTACCTGACATGGTATTATAAGGGACAAATAAAATAACGAATGCTCCACATTGTAGATATTCAATAAATGGGACCTATTGTTTTTGTTAGAAAATCATTGCTTCGATTAACATTTGCAAAACCCCTCTTACAAGCAAGCCCCCTATTCCAGGTGACAGCAAAGAGAAATCAGCAGAACGAAAGGAACAGAACACAGGCATAGATACAAGGCAGCTGCATAAGAAAGGCACCATGGGTGCCCTTGGGTACACCACTGGGAGTGGCCAAATCACCCATATGGTCCCTCATGCAAATTTGTGGCTTCTGAGTCTGGCTGTCACCTTCCAAGGTCTATGGGGCAAAATCCCATTTCTCCCAAATGTGGAGAAACTGCAGCAATATAGTTCCTCAGGAGACCAATAAATCTCCAGGTAGGGGGGTGAAGGGGGCGCTAAAGGTAGTAAACTAACTCACTCAATAAATATGTATTAAGCAACTATTATGTGCCAGAGATTTTTTAGGTCATGGAAATATACGAGTGAATAAAATACCGCTGCCTATGGCTACAGACAAGGGTCCTGTCCTCATTGGGCTGGCTAACAGTGACGTCAGAGAAATTCGAGGTCCCTCAAGGTTGAACAAGGTCCCTCGTGTTGGGATGTTCCCAAACCTTTGATCTGTGGTTGTTCAGACTCATTCCTTCTATAGCCCATTTATCTCTGGAGAGAGAAGATATTCAGCATTTTGCCAAAACTTATTTGACCAAAGAAACCCTCATTTCCAAGAACATCATATATAACAGTGCCCCAAGCAACATAATGAGGGAGTCCCTGCTCAGAGTCATCATGTGCTAAAATATACATGGAGTATGCAAAAACGGAAGCAGACAGCTAGTTTTCCCAAATATCAAAACTGGTACAAAAGTTAACAGCCTCGGCTTGCCTGCCGCAAAGCCCCTTTCCAGGTCACTTACCATCACTTGTGAATTCAAGAATTGAAACCAACTTCAATATTAGTCCAAAAATAGAAATATAGCTGTAAAAAATGTTGTTTCTCCCCTCCATCTCAGCCACCTTTTAAGTGTATTTTATCTTTAATTCCTCACATAGTGCCAAGAGAGCTATATTTCAAAAATAGGTATTTTTTTACTTGGGAAGGAATCTTGAAGGATTTCTGTATCTGTATCTATGTCTTACGTGTTTTAAAGTTTTTGAAAAGTCTCTTGACCTATATGCAGTAACAACCACTTTATGACTATATATATTATACATAGTTGTTTTTTCTCATAGGTTGCTTGGAAGTGGTTTTAGTGAGAATGTGCCGTGCCTTCAACCCATTAAACAACACTGTTCTGTTTGAAGGAAAATATGGAGGAATGCAAATGTTCAAAGCCTTAGGTAAGTTTACCTTTGATATGACACAATTTTATTATCTACCAACCATTTCTCTACTAAGCTTGCAGTTGGTAAATAAAATACTGTCTTTAATGTGAACTAGTATCCCACTTTCTTTTTTAAAAAATATATTTTTACTGATTTCAGAGAAGAAGGGAGAGGGAGAGAGAGATAGAAACATCAATGATGAGAGTCAATCATTGATCGGCTGTCTGCCCCACACTAGGGATCACAACTAGGGAATATGGCCTGACCTGAAATCAAACTGAGACCTCCAGGTTCATAGGTCAATGCTCAACAACTGAGCCACACTGGCTGGCCATAGTATCTCCTTTCTGATAAGTGTTGGACTAGGTGAGCCTCCAATGTTTTATTTAACTCTTGAGATCTTATAAGTATGCATCCAAATATGAAAGGAAGGAAAAAACCATGGATCTATTGAGACTGACCAGGACTCATTCAGAAATCAATAAAAGATCTGGACTGTATTATAGGTCATTCTTTATAGAATCAGCCTTTCTTTTACCTTCAGCTTACTGCTTCACAAGTATATTATGAAGACCACTGTAGATCCATGGGTGACCTCTTATATTTTAATGTAGTCATAATCATTAATTAAGATACTTAAGAGAGGAGCTCCTTCATTTGTTTCTCACTCTGAGAAGTAACACTCATCCTGTTAATTTATGAAGTCTGGGACCACAGGTAGAGTGGGTATCAACCTGCCCAAAATGACCCCCCGACCAGGCTCATGAGAGGGCAAGATCAGAGTCAGCCCCTGGAATTCTGTGTATCATCCAGTCATCAGTGCACAGTATGTATAAGAAGAACATTAGCAAAGATGGGCTATTGCCAGGAAAGGTTAAATGATTGACAGAACCATTTGTTCCACATCCTGCCCACGGACATCCAAGAAGGCCACTGCCCTTTGACCTGTTGTGCTGTTAGCTGATACACGTCCATATCATCTCAAAGGCTAGATTTTCAAGAAAGGAGGAAAAGCCTTGGCAAGCAACTTGGGGATATTTCCATCTTCATGAAATAAACATTTACCCAGGATCAGTGTAGGGATGAAGCATTATTTTGCCAAAATTCACAATGGCCAACCAACTGACCTGCAAATCATTCATTAGAAGATAAAAAAAAAGGGGGGGGGGGGGAGGAATGCTTACTCCTCAATCAAATTTCCAGGGAAGTTTCCAAATTGAAAGATACCTCATCTCTGTTCTATTGACTTTTAACATCTTAGTTCAAGGCCCTTGCTTACTGTATATTATTACCAGGTTCAAGTGCCACCATGACTGATAGCCCTCAGCCCCTTATACATAATGTTTTAGATTTTCTATGAGTGCTGTACCTATACTAAAGGAACCCCAAATCACTTATTTAAATTGTTTTTAGTTGAAACTAATTTCAAGCTTATACAATTAGACTCAGGTCATGTATTCACACTTGGATATTACAATGGGCACACACCATTTCCAACTGCCCCTCACCGGAATTATTAACTTTCATTACCTGGTCAAGATGTTGCCTGGATTCCTCATCTATAATTACTACTAAATTACTTTTGTGGATAGAAACTTGGAAATATTTTTTCTATGTGCCTACTAGGTAAAATGTTGAATAACTTTTCTTACTCTTGCCCATTCCAATCAAGTATCTTCATTGATTTGCCTTCTTTTATAGGTTCTGATGACCTAGTGAATGAAGCATTTGACTTTGCAAAGAATCTGTGCTCCTTGCACCTGACTGAGGAGGAGATTGCTTTGTTCTCATCTGCTGTTCTGATATCTCCAGGTAGGGAAGGCTGAGGTCTTTACCTTTTCTTTTTAACCTGTTTCATTATCTTTCATATGGATGACACCTACCTCAGCCAAGGTGCTCAAGAGAAACTTTAAAAGAGCCATATTTTCTTTAGCAAGATATTTTTAGACAATCCAAAGGAAAGTAATTTGAAGTTAAATCAAATGGTTGGTTTTATCTCAAAAATAAGAGTAGAGCATGTGGTGGGCATCATTCCAGATTCAAAAGAGCCAAATTATTCTTTAATAGGCAAATAAAAACTGATAGTGACTTGTTATAACTAAGTTCCATTTTGATTTTTAAAATAAAGGACATGGTTGGGAAACTGTCCAATAAGATGAAACTCAGCAGAAATATATCGAATGAAAGATCCAGCATTAAGTACAGAGTACACTTTCTCCTCTTAAAATACCCTTTTCTCTGGTTTATCTACCCATGGTAAATGGGTGTGCTCATTGCAAGCAAATGATGGTTCCTTTTCTTTCTTTCTTTCTTTTTTTTTCTTTTTCTTTGTCACATCAGAGAATTTAAAAGAAGGTGAGGACAGCAGAGTAAAAATGGCTCCTATTAAGACCAGAAAAGAAAGAATCTCTGATGTGGCAGTAACATTCTAGTACAGGCTCTGCCACCATTTGTCTGTGTGACCTTGTACACTTGCCCTCTCAGAGTCTCAGTTTCTTCATGTATAAAGTAAGAGAGTTGGGCTTCATAATAATAAAGACCTCATATACCTCTAAAATGCAATAACATGGCAAAAAGTTTTCAAAGAAGGTAAGGTGTAATATTTATAGATCTCATAGAACTGTAGCAATTGAGATTCTTTTTAAAAATATATGCCAACCTGAAAAAGGTATAGAATCCTAATCAAACCTGGCTTCTTCTTCAATGGGAATGAGAATTCAGAGTCACTCACTCAGCTGCCTATACAGTTAGATTTGGATAGCAGTGTTGTTGATAGTTCTCCACTGAAAGAACAACACATTCCTGCTAAATTTTACTGTCAAGAGACTCATTCCTTCAATAACCCATTTATTTTTAGAGACTAAGTCTTTTTTCTTATAGCCCAATGTATTTTCTCAGAGAGGCAGGAAAAAAATCAGTCTTGCCTATGAAGGTACACTGTGACACATCATTCTAGCTATACCTACCAATAATACCAGCCTCTACACTTTTTATCTATTAAGGCTTGTTTATTTCTTTTTTAAATGGAAGAAGTGACAAATATTTACTTCTGGTAGCAAAAAAATTCCAAATAGTTTTCCTCCTACCATTTACTCACTGCATTTGATTATTCCCAGAGAGTGTAGGGCGATGGAATATTAATTCTAAGCCTGTGGGTCTATGGTGAGAGATGTGGTTTTACCTCTGACGCCTGCTTGCTGGAAGGAAGTGTTACAGAACTCGCTGTCTTCTTTTGGTATGTTTGTGGCAAGTCAATAAATTCCTAACAGCAAATACTTAAGATATGATTTATCAATCCTTAAAGATAACTCTTCCAGAGGAGGATAAGCCTGTCCCTTATGAGTTAGGAGTCAACCGAACCATGGGCCATTTTCTAGAATGGCCATCAAATTCTGCTGAGCTTGGAACCACAATATTTGTCTTACTCTACCTAGTGTGGAATCTTCCAACCCTGGTCACAAACCCACACTCAGAGGCCTTAACCACTCCAAATACCTTGTTTGCCACCCTGGCCTAGTGCCATAATAAAAAAGAGAGAAGATAGATTTCCAGACTATGAAGGCTCCACCTTGTGCCAGACCCCTTCCCCCCCACCACCACAAGGTTCTTGCCATAATGACCACTGTCTATTCAGCTCCAGAGAGTTTAGAGAGGAAAGAGGGAGAGAGACTTAATTTATTCTGATTGACAATTGTCAACTGAAGGCTTTTGTGCTCGCTTACGTAAGGGTTTGCTTCACTGTTGGCTAGACTTGTTCTTGCCCTGTCTAGGATTACAGAATTGAGTTTCTCACCTGACTTGAACTGTGTTCAAAAGGATCATGCCCAGGTTCTTTTCCATGAGTATTTTTCAGCATTTGGAGACTCCAGGTGTTCCAACCTAAGGCATTGAAGTTCCAACCTAAAGCATTGATGCCTGGCTGGGCTAAATTTTGTCACCACAGTGTCTAGAGCTTCTAGGAAAGAAGGATGAAAGGAAGGAGGGACAGAGGGAGGGATGAATGGAATGAAAAGAGAGAGAAAGAAGAGTAAAAAGGAAGGAAAGGAGGAAGAGAGGGCTTTTCCTATTCACCTTTTAAAAATTCGTTATAGAAAAAGAGGACTCAGGATTACATTTTTAAAATTGATTTTATGCTTATATGAGGATTAAATGAGACAATACAAACCGCCTTTCCCTTTTATAAGTGATGTTATCATTCTATAACACTTCCTTCCAGCATCAGAGGTAAAACCATCTCCCTCATCATAGACCCACAGGCTTAGAATTAATATTCCATCGCCCTACACTCTCTGGGAATAATCAAATGCAGTGAGTAAATGGTAGGAGGAAAACTATTTGGCATTTGTTTGCTATCAGAAGTAAATATTTGTCACTTTTTCCATTTAAAAAAGCAATAAATAAGCCTTAATGGATAAAAAGTGTAGAGGCTGGTATTAATGGTAGGTATATAGTTAGAATGACATGTCACAGTGTACCTTCATAGGCAAGACTGGAGTTTATTTAATCATTGGGTCCTTAGTGCATTCTGATTTTCTATGTCAATGTATTATGCATTCCTGTCATCATGGGATTGCTTATAAAATATTTATGTTCATTATCAAAAATTACATGACTTCAGAAGCAATTTAGAACAAATGTGAAATGCGTCTGACACTCAGCACTTGTATACACAGGTGAAATAAAGCAAAGCTTACATTCCCACCACTTCTTACCCATTCTTTTCCTCTGTCAGACCGAGCCTGGCTGATAGAACCAAGGAAGGTCCAGAAGCTTCAGGAAAAGATTTATTTTGCACTTCAACATGTGATTCAGAAGAATCACCTGGATGATGAGACCTTGGCAAAGGTAGGTCCTCAGACCACAGACCCCTTGGTCACTGAAAGAGAGTGAAATGAGCCAAAGGGCGCTGGTTGTATGAAGCAAGAGGCATTTCTTGGCAACAATGATTTCTTAAAGTTACCAAAGGTGCATAAATTTTGAGGTGCACATTTAAAAGGGAGACTAGTAAATTATAATAGATGGAGAGGATAATGACACTCCTTAGGACAGGGTGATATTGATGGACCTGAAACCCAGGTACAGGAAAACACATGAAAGAAACTGAGGCATGCCATCTGAAAAACTAAAGTTTGAAGCAGGGAATCAAGTCTTCAGAACTCAAATGTGGCAGAAGAGGATACTTTGTGCCACATAGGAGTCAGATCCGGGCAAAAGTTAAAAGGGGTAGATTTTTACTCAAAATATGGAATAAATATAAAATGATGAGGGTTGCTGAAAGGAAGGTTAGACCGCTGTGTGAAGTAGTGAGCTCCCTGTCATTGGCCATATTCTAATAGATACTGCTTGGTTTCCTCTCAGATATATTGTAAATGACAGTACTACCCAGAATAGAAGATTAGACTGATTCCTTGTAAAATTCCCTTCAACTCTAATCTCTTCACTCAAGACTTGCCCTGGGGGGTCTTTCAAAATGACAAGTGTCTCATGGGCAAAAGCAGGCAACACACCATCAATTTCTTGATTCAGCTTAAGAATAGTGATGCTTAAGAAGAGAACTGAGAAAAGTTGTTTACCGAGGTAAAATCATCATAAAGAGGAAGAGTTTTCTAATAATTGATATTTAGCACTATTTTAGATTTTAAAGTATCTCTAGTTTCTTACACATTGTAATATTTTTGAGGGCCGGAATTATTTTAGATTTCTAAGTACCTTTGCTTTCTTAAAAAACTGATTTTGGTGGGATGAGGGAAGGTGGAAGAGGGATGAATGATGATAGTCAGAGACTTGACTTGGGGTGGTGAACACACAATATGCAGTATAGATGATGTGTTAAAAAAAATACTGGAATTTTTTTTATAGGGTAAGCTACTAGGAAATGGCGCTTATTCATGGTAAAGAGGTTAGAAATCCCATTCTTTATGTTGCTGTTGTTTTTTATTAAAACACTGTCATTCTTCTCTTGAAATTCTTTATTTAAAAAAGGGGGAAAGACACTATTAGGGATACTATCAGAATCTACTTTGCACAGAAAGAGCATTGTTATAAAAAAAAAACTTAATGAGTTAAATATGCTGCTTCATTATGGTAACATTGTGTTAAAATTAACACAACTTAGGAAGAACATTTTCACAATGTGGAGGGCTAGTTCTCTTTGGTATAACTTTGCACTTAGTGGGAAAAGACAAATCACCTTCTCTCTGCACCTCTTTTCTCCCAGTGAAGAGCAAAACTACATGCTTTCAGATAACCGGAGAAAAAAGATGGTAATGTGAATGTATGCATCTGTCACTTATAATTGCATATATAACTAGCAAAATGCATAAGTATATCTAGCTAATTAATTGGGGGTCCTGCATTTAGTTTACCAAAATAAAGGTTGATAAAATCTAGAGTTAGACAAAAGTTGTTGCTATTCTGCTCAGGGAGATTGTCTGCATTTCAGAAAATTCTAGTTTCATCATGTGTAAATGAAAATTATAATTCCTGGCTCCTGTATAGATGTGCTTTAGGTTCAAATGAGATATTTGCCCTACATGGATTCTAACACACTGTGACACTGTGATTATTACTATCCTAGGAGAGTAAAACTCTCATGCTTACACCATCTTTTACCTTTTGGTGTCCTGGTGCTGGTGATCTGAGGTCCTGAGATAGAAAGGAGACAGGGAAAATGAAGAATGAAAGGTATTTAGTGGCAAAAAAAAAAAAATTAGAACACGGGCAGTAGGTCAGTTTTTCCTTTTTTTATCTTTGGTTGTAAAAGTCCACAAGTCAATTCTTTTTAAAGGTTCTTAGTATAACTGGCATATGATATTATATAGTTTGGAATGCATAATACCAGTATAATGATTTAGCACTTGGTTATAATATATTGCAAAATGATCACCACAATAAGTCTAGTTAACATCAACTCAGTTCTTTTCTTATAGTAACAATGTTTCAAAACTGGAGACCAGAAAAAGAATTAGAAAAGAGTAATCCTATCTAATAAAAGAATAATATGCAAATTGACCATACATCCATTACACACAAAAGCCACACCTGCCAGCCAATCAGGAGCAAGTATGCAAATTAACCCAACCAAGATGGCTACAGCCACAGAGTGACCAGGAGGCTTGGGTTTTCCTGGCAATGGAGGAAGCCAAGCTTCCTGCACCCCCTGGCCAGCCCAGGCCTCTGCTCAAGGCTACAAAGTTTCAATTATAGAAAATAAATAAATCTCAGATCCCAGAGCCTCTGCTTTGGTCGCCAGGGGCATGGCCAGCTTGCAAAACACCACAGGCTGCCCCACACCCTAAGGGAAGCCCCAACCTAATCCAGGACACCCGTCAGGGCAAACCAGCTATCCCCCACCCGTGCACCAGGGTTCTATCCTATCTAATAGAAGAGTAATGTGCAAATTGACCATCACTCCAACACATAAGATGGCTACCCCATGTGGACACAAGATGGCCTGCTGGGGAAGGCAGCTGGGAGAGACCAGATCTGCAAGGGAGGGCAGTTGTAGGCAATCAGGCCACCAGGGGAGGGCAGTTGGGAGGGACCAGGCTGGCAGAGGAGGGAAGTTAGGGGTGACTGGGCCTCCAGGGAAGGACAGTTGGGGCAGAGGAGGGGAGGGTCCAGGTCTGCAGGGGAGAGCAGTTAGGGGTGACCAGGCCAGCAAGGGAGGGCAGTTAGGGGCAATCAAGCTGGCAGGGGAGCAGTTAGGCATCAATCAGGCTGGCAGGGGAGAGGTTAGGGGAGAGGTTAGGGGTTATCAGGCTGGCAAGCAGAAGCAGTTAGGGGCAATCAGGAAGGCAGGCAGGCAAGCAGTTGGGAGCCAGCAGTCCTGGATTGGAGGGGTGCAGGACATCCCCCCCCCCCCCGCCCATGCACAAATTTTGTGCACTGGGCCTCTAGTTTCTTGTATAAAATTCCCTGGAACCAGATAACAAAGCATTGCTTCCATCGGTCTTGTGTGGATGTTAGGTTTTTGTGTGGACCCTTCCTTGTAACTGTCACCATTTTAATAGGATGTAATTTGAACAAATGTGGAGGGATCATGAGAGAGAATGAGATCTGGACTCTTATTTATGCCAGCTCTGAATTGTATGGCTTTGGATAAGTCACTCCATTTATGGAAAACAGATTCATCAGCTGTCAGATGCTGGGGGAGGAAAGGCTACATCTGTAGAGGTCCTGAGCTTGAATTCTTTAAGGACAATGGCACCTCATCAAACCCACACTCTCCAGAAGGAATGTTTTGTTTAAATCCGAAAAAACAATTCTTCTCTACCACAGAGTTTTCTCATCCTTTCAGAAATGTCACTCTTAAACAGTGACAACCATTCTTATGAATGCTATTTATAGACTCATTGGGGATTCTGGCAAACATTATGAAACCTATCTCTAGAAAAATGCACACAGACTCAACCGTTGTATTGAATTCCAGGGCTCAGGTTAAATCCCCAGTAGGTGGGGCAGATCTGCCTCTTGTGTACTATGCAACGACAATTTCTACCCTGAACAGGTGTAGTAGATGTCAGGTGAGAGATGCAGATGCACTCACCCACAGTCAGTGGACTTTGTCCTGAAAGAACAGTCTCCAGCACACTTTCTACACGACCACCTCCTGAAATTAAATTCAAGTAACAGTGTCATACTTTCAACCAAATTTAGGCCAAGAGAAGGTTTGAAAATTCAGGAAGTCTGTGTTCATTGGCTAAATGGTTTTAATCTTTATATATTAATCAATTTTTCATTTATTTGTTTGTCTAAAAAAATACCCTATTAAAAATCTAGTTTTCTTTGCTCATCAGCATAATGATAATATACAGCATATTTATAATAAACCATCAAAAACACTTCCTAGCTGAGTGACCCTGGACAAGTGACTTAACCTCTCTGTGCCTCAGTTTCCTCATTTGTAAAATGAGACTACAGATAGTATCAATCTCATTTGGTTATGTTAAGGACTAAATGAAATCAAATATAAGCAAGCTGAATGGTTTATACAGGTAGTTTGTAAGTGTTGTTTACAGTTGTGGACAAAGTAAATTTTATTTGGCAGGGAACTTTTTTGTCCAGGAGATGGTATATATGAGCTAATCACCAATGAATGAAAACTATCTCAAAAGATGGAAGTTGGGGGAGGAGGTTAAGAGGTGGACTATGGCATTCCAAGTGATGGGGGACAGGGTGTGGAGGTAAGAAAGTATGAGGTATTTTTGAGCTATGAATAATAGTTAGATTTGACTGGATCTGGACTTGAGAAGTCTGGAATGAGATGACACTGGTCACTTTCACTAAAACTCATAGAAAAAAATACATGTGTGTATTTATAATATGCATATATAATATACATTTTGTAAGCCCCATCTGACTAGGGGAGGCAGCCCATCTGTTCTCTGGGCTATACTTTTCTTGTCTGGGAAATGAGTAGGTTGCACTGGATGGTCATTTAATCCATTTGGCATAATATTCTTTGACTCAAAAAGAGGAAAACGAAGAGCATGGGAGGGCAAAAAAAGATTTAAAGGTTTCTCCTTAAGATCTTCTTTTTCCCTCTCATGCTCTTTTCCAGTCCAACCCCTCCGGCTGTGTATCCTGGGTGATTAGAGTCATAGAATATTATTAGGTAGCATAGAGACTTTTCCCAGCATTCCTGCAAATATGTGCAACACTCCTGGAGGTATAGTCTCACCCAGAGCTGGACTGAGAAGTTTAAAAGTAGCAAACTCAGTAATAACACATCATGTATTCAATGAGAAGGCATGGAGAACTCCTGGTGTGCCTCAGCCCACAAGCCCACTCACCTCGCCATATGCAGAGCCCAGAGGGACACTCATTTTTGTTTACCCCATGTG